ATGTGTAATTAGAATAGAAAACAAACGAACGAAAAGTCCACAGGACCCCTTCCTAGCAGAATGAAAAACGATGTCATTGAAGATTTGTTGACCTGAAACTTGTTGATCCTTAAATAATCAGTATGCAGTAACATTTTCACATACTTACACATGAAGGTCTCACTGTAGCAATGCTACTAAGACTACTGCCAGTGCAACTGGTAAGAATAATTTTAAAAGTACTTCTAGTGTGATCTTCCCTATCCTATGTTTACAGTAGCATGACATGCACATAGTCAGAACGTACAGATAGCGATTATGTGCTCTTATGATTTGCTCAGTAAAATTTGGCTGTCTCATGGTCAACTCTGTCCTTAGGTTAATGCCTTATGTAGCTGTTTTAGTTGTCTGTAGCTCATTTTCTAGTGGTTTCTTCAGGAAGGAATCATGTGAACAATTTATCTGTCTCCATTGTAGTGAAGGTGGGATTTGCTGAATGTAAAATCTTTTTTGCTCCTTTTTTATTTTCTTGAGTATTTTTAATTTTATTACTTTTTCTCTGATTTAAAGTATTTGTAGTAGGCTGAAACAGTGGCACCCAAAGATATTCAGCTTTGGAATCTATAAGTATTACATTATATGACAAAAGAGATTTCACAAGCATCAAGGATCAAGAGAAGGGAAACTATCTTTATTTATCCAGGGGGCCATCAGGGTCATGCCTTCCTTGTGAGAGTGAGCCAGAGTTAGAGTTGGAATGAAAGAAGGTGATGATTAAAAGGAGAAACTATAAAATGTAGAGCTGCTAGGCAAGCATGAGGAGAACCTCCCTAATCTTGTGGTCCCAAAGAAATGAATCCAGTGAAGGAGATCCAGAAGGAACCAGTTCTGCTTGTATCTGACCTAGACCTTTGGCTTGTAGGATGCATTCAGATGCCTGGCCTTTAAACCTAAAAACAACATATTTCTGTTGTTTGAAGTCATTTAGCTTGTGATCATTCAGTATACTGAAAATAGAAACTAATAGACTATCAATCTCAGAAAGTAGGATGATAATATTTTTATCATCTATGTGTTCTTCAGATACTTTAGCCAAATAATTTTGCTACAGCATGTCTTTTTGTACTGACTCTCCAGGATTGGTATATGGTATGTCTGTTCAATGTTTTTGGCATTTTTCATTTATAATACTTGTTGCAGTCTTAGAAGATTCATAGTCGGACATATTTCAAATCTTCTCCACTTAGTTTCGGCATTCTCGAGTTTTATTGAATGCTGGGACAAACCAGGAGCCATCTTGAACTCCTAACTTTAAAGATATTGCAGATTCACAGAATGAATTACATACTTTAACTAAAAATCTACACACACCTGGACATTACTTGGAGAAGCAGAGAATTGAGATAGGGAAACTTTGTAAGGCAGAGGGGTTCAGGTGAGCTAGACAGGTATTGCTTCACCACACAGTAACATAGTGAGCCCAGTGACACAATGGACACAGTGACATAGAGGACACAGTGACACAGTGAACACAGTGACACAGTGAACACAGTGACACAAGGACACAGTGGACACAGTGACATAGAAGACACAGTGAAATAGAGGACACAGTGACACAGTGGACACGGTAACATAGTGGACATAGTGACATAATGGACACATTGACCACAGGGGACATGGTGACATAGTGGACATTTCTTGTGTCTAGACACAACCACAAGAAATCCAATCTCTGTGCCTCACACATGCTGACCTTCCCATTATATTCTTTTCTTCTCTTACCTAAACATTGCAGACTTGTCATTCCCGCTTCAGTGACCTCTCTGTCCTTAAAGTTCCGGAGCTGTGTTATGCCTTTGACCATTACTTTCTGCCCTACAGAGCAGATGATTTTTATATCTAATTTACTGAAACCAATTCTTTTCAGGCACTATCCAGGAACTATCTCTAATGTTCACAATGACATAGAAATAAGGTATTTATTGTAGTGGTTTGAATAGGAATGCCCCTCACAGACTCATAGATTTGAATGTTACCAGAGTGTGGCACCATTAGGAGGTGACCTTGTTGGAGTAGATGTAGCCTTGTTACAGGAAGTGTCACTGGGAGTAAGCTTTGAGGTTTTGAATGCTCAAGTCAGGCCAGCGTCTCTTATTTCCTGCTGCCTACCTGTGGGGAACCATGGAGTTGGCCTGACCTAGCTGCTCAGAGAGGCAGGCATCACAGGTTTTTCAAGTTAGAGTCCATGACTCCTGGAGCACAATATGCCTTCCAGTTCCTGAGAGACTGGCATGCTCCCTTGGGCAACGAAGGGTTCATGCTCTTTGTGTTTTTCTGTAGACAAGACACCATAGAAGCTTGACAGGACAATTGGTCTTAGACGTTGCTCTTGTGTACCCTGTATAGCTTGCAAACTTCATTGTGTCCTGGCAATTTCCAGTATAATCTGTTTCTGATAATGGTATAAAGGGTCTAATTATCTCAATAAAATGGTCACAATCTCAGTGTTGCTGTGGTCCTCCAACCCAAGCTTGGTTTCATTCCTCACAGCCATATCATGTAACTTTGACCAGGTAAGTTAGTGTGGCCAGATGTAGAACTCTCAGCAACCTCTCCAGTACCATGTCTGCCTCCCTGCATGCTAACAAGCTTTCTGTCATGATAACAATGGACTAAACCTCTGAACCTGTAAGCCAGCCCCAATTAAAAGCTTTCTTTTATAATTAATTGACATGGTCATGGTATCTCTTCACAGCAATAAAACCTTAACTAAGACATGTATTAATACTTTCCTTTGATAGATGAGGAAAATAAGATTCTGAGTGGTTCACAAAAATTGCCCAAATTGCTCAGCTAGTAAATAAGAGTCTTTAAAACTGTATTCTCAACACTATGCTTTCTCTATCCTCAGGTTGTTTTATTTATACACTTTGCTCATTCATTGAACTAATGTCCACCAAACTAAAATCACTAGTAGACCTTGTGAGTATTTGCTACTATAGTACAAAATAGGATTAACAGGGGGTTGTTGAAAATTGTAATCCCAATCCAGGGATTTTCTACTCTACCTTTAATTATTTAGTTTCTGGATAAAAGACATGTACAACCTTTATATTTACAATAAACCTTAATCAGCACAAGAGCTGGGCAGATTTCTATCCTCTATGCTATTATGTCTATGTCCCAGGCAATAATTCTATTATATAACTTTCCATGTTTTGTCTGGGCTGCTCTTAACTCCAACTAGTCAACCCACTTGGCCATTATGTCATGACTCACATAACCCTTGGCAACTTCATCCTCTACCCCAAGCCCAGGAACACTAAACCCTGCCTATGTCTCTTCTGCCCAGTTATTAGCTGTTGGAATCTTTATTTACCAATCAGAAATAATTTGGGGGCAAGGTCACATAGAGTTACATGCAGACTCTCTCATCTCTGGGGCAACCAGGTCTTGAGGGCCTGCACTTAGCATTAAAATACATAGCAACAGATCATACCTCAACAATAGGGAGAGTAAGTAAAGTCTTAGTCAATGAAGAGATGATAAAGATAAGACAGTAGATTCAGGAGTGATTATGATGCCTTTAGTCAACACCATGAACCAGGAGGATGGGCTTAGCCAGGAAGGCAGACTTTTCTACGGTGGACATGCTGCGTAGAAGTGCCCATTACATCTGTGTAGAGATACTTGTGAGGGCCAGAGGTATGATGGTTAAGAACATGCTCTTTGGTGTCAGAAGTTGTTGGTCTTGAATTTGTGAGATTTCTTTGAGCAAGTTTAACTACAGGTCTCAAGTTGTTGTATTTATGATAGGAATCATAGTAAACCTACCTGAAAGAGTTACTGGGAGGACATAACTAAACAAGTTTCATAAGATAGCTAGTACAATGCCTAGAGTAGGCTGAGTCCATACTACATGAGAGTATCTTATTTGTTCTAGTTTTACTATGATGCAAATAGTAACAACATATGTGACTTTAGAATGGAAAGTATCTAGGTTTTTTTAAAGTGACTTTAGATGTTCTTGGTGTATAAGCAGTGACACTGGAAGAGCACACAGAGAAGGCAGTGCAAATGCCTTCAGGCTAGGCAGCTAGAGAGGTAGTATGAGAATATTTGGACAGTCAGTGGATGGTGGGACTTGGGGAAACTGAGAAAGAACATTCCAGAAGAGAGAAACTGTTCCCCTGCTGGAGATGGTTACTAGCATGCCAAAGATAAGACCTGTCTATTGTTTCATTGTTCAAAGCATTGAGAAATTTATCAGTGTTTACATATTGAAAATTAAAAACAAAGAAATATTACACATATATAGGCCAGATCATGGCTTGTTGAGGTCTTGGACTTTGGAACAGAGGAGGAAGAAGAAGGCTGAGGCCAGAGCAGTGGACAGAGGAAGAGAAGAGGGTAAAGATTAAAAAGACAGAGTAGAGAAAAGGCAAGATGAGAGAAGGGAGGGAGAAGAGGGGAGGGGAGGGGAGAAAAGGAAAGGGGTAATAAAGAGAAGGAAGGAGGGGAGAGAAGGGAGGAGAAACAAAGGGAGGAGAAGGGAAAAATAAGGAAAAAAGAAGGGGATGGTGGAAGAAGAGAAGGAGGAGGGAGACAAAAGACACTGAATATAAAAAAGTACTTAGGGAAGAGAGAGTCATTAATATCACCGAGGTGGCACCAAGATTCCTGTGTCCATTCTAAGTCACAGATGCCACTCATACTTGTGACCTCATTTTGAGACAGGAAAGAATGACTATGAGACAAAGGGACATAATTCTCAGAGATCATCCAGGGCTAGAGATGAGGAGAAAAACCTCATGTGAAAGGTCAGTATGTCCGTGAAAGGACTTTGCATAGCCAGATCCCTTGAACTGTGAGGAGGGGCGCTGACTTCCAGTGGCTTTTCAAAAGCAAAGATGAACTTTGTCAGCTCAACTATCCCCTCAACAGAGGCAGGTAGAAAGCCAGAAAGTTTGTCCCATCTTCCATACTTATGAGGGATAATCAGGACAGGTTGAAGAGAAACACAAAGAAAACAAAGCTCTACTGGTTTTCTTTACATCACTGATGTGGTACATCTGTGGTATCATAGTCCCTAGCTAGCTCTTTGAAGGAAGTTTTCCTATTACATATACTCGGAGGCCAGGAAAGAAGAGAGATAATGAGAGAAGCTCAGAGTGCACCTCATTGCTTAAACAGTTGTCCTCAAGTCCTGGTTTCCACGGGCTGATCTTCTTTCTGAGCTCCCATGAGATGAGAGACAGTTTTAGGCAACATGTAAACTTTGATCACCTTAACCTTGGATAGAGCACGCCAGCTCCTACTGGCTGCTAGACACCACCCTTTCCAGACTCACAGCCCCATTCTTTGCTCTTTCTTTTGACAATGTCAAAATTCTAGAAGATAGTAATCAAGTGCCATTTTCAGTGACAGATGTTTATTACAATGATGTTCTGACCAACAGAAACAATGTAACTTGAAGAGACATTTATCTTTTTCATTCCCAATAGAGCTCTTAGCAGACTCAAGGCAGTCCTGGGAATGAGAGGTCAACTGTTACATAAGACATGAGATTTAAATATCCCTGAGTGAGGAAGTAGGGGAGGATCTGCATTCGGTGACATCTCATAGAGTTGAGCAGGATGGACTCATCTCTCATAAGAAAGAACCTGTGTCCCGTCCATCCTCAGAGTGGGATTCACAGTGGTCCTTGGTTCACGGCGATATGGTAAGATCCTTCAGGAGCACAGTATCTACTGGGGGTTAGCTGGACAACAATCAGTTCCCCATCATTTATCTGGAGATGTTCGCAGGGAGTATCAGTAGCATTTACAGTCAGGTAAACTATATCTTTGAAGCCCAAAGAGGTCACCACAGTGAAGACAACTCTTTGACCATTGTTTAGCATTGGCATAGAGATTGGATTTTGATCCTTCCGGAAATGAAGGTTGATCTTGACCTCCTGGAAAAAGGAGCCCTTCAGGTAGACGAGATAAAGCCCGTCGCAGTTGATGATGACTGAATTATTCTGCACCTCCATGGTTTGATACTCAGTCTTGGATAAGCTGATGAATAGTCTCCCATTTTCACATCCTAGAAAGAATTGAAAACAAGATTATCCCTAAGCAAAATATGAGATGAGAACCTTCCAGTGCAGCTAGATCAGATGAAGAAAAAGTAACAAGGAGAGAGACTTTGGGAAAAAGCGAAAGCAAAAAGCAATGTGGTATATACTGATGATTCACACTAGCTGTGCCTATGGGATAGAGGGAAAGGCAGAGCCCATGTCAGTTTTCAAGAGAGTGTAAGGTGAGGTTTAGGAGTCAGAGCTGAGAGATTAAAGCCATTGTCACCGCAGGACAGACAGGTTCCAATATCCCCTGATTTTTTCAAAACCAAGAAATGACAGTCATCTTCAATGCTGACTCTCCAGCTGAGTATATAGACTACAACAAAGGTTGGCAGGGATGGGGCCTGCATTGCCTTGGTCCTGTCCACCCCGATTATCTTGACTCAGAACAACTGCATATAGCCATTCCCTACACCTTTCCACCTGACCATAAATCCCTATCCTCCACATGCTCCTGAGAATCAGATTCACCGAGAGCATTACTGAGTGGTCCTTGGCAGCAGTCCAATAAGCTTAGTTATGAAGTCAAGCACAGGATGCTTCTGGAATCAAAATGGGCACAGTCCTGGGAAGCAGGGCGAAAGAAGCCAAAGACATAGCCATGTGGTTCTTCCTTCTACCTCCTATAACTTGTGACTTGGGAAGAGTCACTGCCACAGAGAAAGAAAAGGAAGAGGAAGAAGAAAAGGATAAAAAAGAGAAAGAAGAAGAAGAGGGATAAGAGGATCAGCTGCAAGTGGAAGGTTTGTGCCAGACCTTTCCAGAAGCAAGCTCCAAAGCCCAAGTTTCTTACATCAGCCTGAATATTACCTTGAATGGCTGGGCAACCACATCGTACATACCCTACTCTGGCTCATGGCCCTTGCTAATAGGAAATAACAGGCCCCTAGTGTTGACCTCAATTCAACAAGTCTTCCTTTGTACCAGGCCCTGGAGCTGTACTTTGAATCAAAAACAAGAATGACTTATTGAGGGCAAAATGTACTTCCTGTTCAGCACAGATAGATTAATAAACCCTTGAAAATTCATATAGAAACTCCTGGTGGTTGGCTGTGATCAAGGGCCCAAATGATATTTTTTTGATCAAAGTATTCGGTTTTCTTCATATCTGGCCTCCCCAGCTCTCCTTAAGGTATCATCATGTTACAAAATAGAACTGGCAGGTGTCTTACAGCCAGGCACCCTTAGACTCCATAGATGAAAACCAAATGAAATTCCTACCCAAAAAGTATTTCTGAGAGGATTAAAAAAGACAAGTGCAGATACAGGCACTTCTTTGGTTACTATTCCCCTTTTTGTCCAATGATTGATGATGATGATGATGATGATGATGATAATCAGACAACAATTTGGAGATGCAACACTTTTCCAAGGGAAATGATAGATCCTATATTCTGAAGAAAATTAAGACTACAGAAAAGAGCCTACTAAAGACATGGGTACAAGGCTACAAAAATGAGTCAGTCAATAAGGTGTCTGTTGCTGAAGATAAGGCTCTGAGCTCAGTTCTTCACATGCACGTACACACATGCTCGTGAGCACGTACATGCGCGTGCACACACACACACATGCATGCACATATGTGCACACACAAAGCCTCAGTGACACATCTCTCAGGAGGCAAAGACAGGTGGATCCCTAGAGTTCACTGGCCAGCCTATTTGGCTAAACCAATGAACTTCAGGTATGGTGAAAGAACTTGTCTCAAAATATAAGGTGAAGAGCACGTTGAGAAGATACTCAGTGTCAACCCCTGGCCTCCACGCGCGCACACACACACACACACACACACATACATATACACACGTGTTCATAAACACAGACACACATATACCACCTATATACACACAATAAGTACGGAAAGATCAACTAAACTTTCAGAAATACTTACTGGTAATTGGTGCTCTGAGTCTTTGGGTTGTAGGGTACTTCTCCTAAGGGAGGGAAAATATGGATATTTAGAGAAAAAGCAAAGGGAAATGGATACTGCAGCCCACAGAAACAATACCCAACAAAAGACGTAGCTTTTCCTGCGAGGATCTGACCCAGACTCGCTACACACCCTTCGCTTTTCTCTCACTACACGTCTCTTCTAATAGGGGAGGATTGCTCTGCTCTACCACGCAAGCATCTGAACTCTGTCTTCATTTCTGCCAAACTCTTCTTTGGTTTATTACACTGGTTCACAGAGCCAGTTCTCCATTTAAATACTAGCACCCTTAATAGGCCTCAAAACAACAACCAACCTCACAGACTCTCAGAACATACTAGGTGAAAGTTTTGGAAGCTTTTTGTGTGCTTTCTCTTCCACTGCATCACAGGAGTTAACATATCCTGTTTTCAAGGGTCAATGCAACCTGCTCTAACCTGTCAGAAAGTATGTTTCAATTGGCTTTAATTTATTTTTTGCATTAATTTATTTTGTACATGTGAGAGTGTGTGTGCATATGGGTCCCTGAGTGAGAAAGAGAGAGAGTGTGTGTGTGTGTGTATGTGTGTGTATGTGTGTGTATGTGTGTGTGTATGTGTGTGTGTGTATGTGTGTGTGTGTATATGTGTGTGTGTATGTGTGTGTGTGTTTAGAGGTCAGGAGTCAGTCTCTCCTTCTATCATGTAAGTTCAGTATATCAATCTTGAGTCCTCAGGCTCAGTAGTAGATGTACTTTTTCATTAATTAGTTTTATGTAAAGTGAGTGTGTGTGTGGGTGGGTGTGTGTGTGTCAGAGGACAATTTTGTAGAATCAGTTCTCTCCTTCTACCTTTATATAGTTTCAGGGGCTCGGACTCGGGTTGGCAGGATTGGGTCCAGTGCTCTTATCCACTGAGCCATCCCGCCAGCCAAATGAGCGGTTTTTAAGCCTTAGATCTTTCCCTTCTCTTCAAAAGCTTGAGAAACCTGAGTCAAGTCAGAGCATGGCAGTAAGAAGTAAAATGGTAAGAAACGGGATAAACACTCACAGGACTTGGCAAAGGCAAAGAAACACAAAACGGAGCCTAGTCATAACAAAGATGCAGAACCACATGAAAACTAGATTCATGTCCACTAAAAACAGAAGCATCCCTGTACACACTGAGTTATCTCTCAATGAATGCATCAAGAAGCCAGTTACAGATTCTGTCTCTGGAAAAAGAATAATTAGTAGCCCGAGGGCATAAGTAATAGGGACCCTTTCTACAATTTTAGAGGAGAGCTATATGATGTATTTATTCCCTACTAACAAGAGAGAGAGAGAGAGAGAGAGAGAGAGAGAGAGAGAGAGAGAGAGA